AAAAGATCGGCTTCTGAAGCCATGGGTAAACCCTAAACACTTAAACGTGTCAGGGCACTGCTAGATACCAGGGCTCAAATCTGGACCTAGAATAAGCGCCAACATTACGGGTGTGGGGTTGATATTCCGAAGCCAGAATGCACAATTTTTCTGTAGAATTGGTAATTGCCCTGAATAGGGGATCCCCGTATAGACCCCAATAATGTATAGTCCCTATTACTTATTGGGACCCCGAGATAGGCACCCATAAATTTTGGAAACCCCCAATCATAGCCTGATCAATTTCTGAATTTCAGCAGGTGATCTAAGCCCATGACCCAAGTATATCATCGTGCCTGAACACTGAACCCAGAACCCTCGTGAAACCACATTGCCGAGTGCACGACGGCGCATCTGCAAGCGTGGCCTGCGGTTGTTTTTTCCAAGCAACACGGCCGAGCTGCGGTTGTGCGAGGGTCTCTGGATTAGCCTACCTGAACCCCAAAGCAAATAAAATAATAGCCCAAGGCCAGTAAATATAGCCCGAAAGGCCATTATTCTACATACTTTTGGGGTTCAGGTAGAGTTGCATTTGTTCTGGCTTAGGTTGGTGGAGCCCGTAACCACGATTGCGGCGGCAGCTGCGACGGCGACGACGAAGGCGACGCTTACGAACCTAACCATCCAGCTACTGCATTGCGCTGCTTCTTGCCTGTTAATCCGAAGATTGTTGCTGAACCCTAAACCCTGAACCCATGGCGTTTTCTGGTAATCACAAGTTCTCAGCGCTCTGCTTTGGCGGGCCGCGGCTTGGCGATGGAGGTGGTGGCCTTCTGCAAGGCACAAAAGGCCCTAGAACGACAGGGTTTGGGGTTTAGGGCTTAGGGATCAAAAAACAGAAGCCTCCCAAAATGACCCCCAGTACCACATTGGGGAAACTCGGGGATTGGGCTCCATTTTTTGGATCCTTCAGGGGGCCTGGGTAAAGACACTGCATCCGAAAATGAGAATGACTGTAGTGATCCTAAACCGTAAGTGTACCCTATAACGCCCAAATGATACCTGTATTCTCTAGATAACCGCTCTTCAGCCCTATCTGACCCTAAACCAAAACCAAAGTCCGAAACCCTAAACCTTAAACCCTAAACTTTCAATCCCCCCCTACACCCAAAATCCTAAACCCTAAACCCTAAACCCTAAATCCTAAACCCTACATCCTAAACCCTTAACCCTAAACCCTAAGACCCTAAACCTACTCCAAAAAGCATGAGACGGCTCGAGCCCCACCTCGGTGGGCTTACCATCGCTGCTGGCGGAACTAAGAAGCGACCCACAGGCCTCGCGGTCACTGCGCGGCTCGCAAAACGGGGCAGGGGGCATTTAAGGGTACCTATAGGGGACTGTATATACGTAGAGGTAGAGAGAGAGAGAGAGAGAGAGGGGGTTTAGGTTTAGGTCTAGAGGAGATTTGGGGCATAGGGTGCAGGATTTAAGGTTGAAATCACTAGCAAGAAGTGTTGGAAGGAAGTGCTTGGAGAAGGAAAACAATGACCGACAAAGTCCAGACGACTTTACTTGGACTACTTCACCCAAAATGTGGAAAACAACATAGGGATCCCTAAGCCGCAAACAACTAAGTAAGCCCCAAGTCTGGAGATGCCATCTGGTCTGGATTCCAAGCTGAGGGCTTTCCTGAAATGGCCACGAATGACTGCAGTGTGGGTTGTTGAGGGTTTAGAGTCTGACGGTCTTTAGTCAGCTCTACTTTCCCAAAAGCTGGCATAAAACCACAGATAGCCCCCTCTAGTAATGGACTATACACTTTGCTGGCCCCTTTTTGTAGGGAGTTGCTCATGCTACTGTTGATACTAAAAATCCTGCATGACTTTAATATACTATAGTGCCGTACTTCCCCTGCAGGGTACAAGGTAGGTAGGGTCATGTACGATTTTAGTATCCACCATAGTTTGGGGAAAGGGTACCTTCCCTGAATCCCTGGAATGGATCCAAAGTTTGTGGAGATTCAAAATCTCACGATGACGTCAAGCGAGAACTTGGCCAGAATTGTCTGAGGTTTAGGGTTAGAGTCCCCCTTAAGTAGATAGAATATGGGGTATATGGGATCTTAGTACAATATACCCAAAGCCATATTCTATCTACTCAAAGGGGACTATAGGGTTATGGTCTAGACTTTGAGGTCTTGGGAAGTATGGACGGGCATCGAGTGGAATCAAGTAAAAATCAGGCGTATCACGCTTTTCTCGCATGGAAAAGGGTAACGCATGATCTCACCAGCAAAGGCCCCCTAATCCGCGAACAGTCCCCACAGGCACCCACTGCCCCACATACATGCAACAACGGATCAGAAGGCCAATTAAATGATGCCATAAGCTCCTTCAACTCTGAATCAACCCTAGTACACGGAGACCAAGACTCTGCAATTAAATGACATATACAAATTACCGAAACATGTTATAAGGATCCTTTTATCATGCGGGGTGTAGTCCTTGCTTAGGTGAATTGGGCTGTCTGAGTACTGTCGTCACATGCATATTGTTGGATGTTCAGCAAACTTTGTCAAAGTAGCCGTTCATCAAAAAGGAAAGAGGATGTGAAACCTGCACTGTATATTCCCTTGGCTTGCAAACCCTGCCTGGACCTGTGACGTACTTGTAGCAAGTAGCAATAGCCCTGACCGTCAAAATGCACCTTCATCTGCACATATTCTACTCAAAAACCCTTCACCCTAATCCCTAAGCCCTCTGCCTCCGTGGGGGCCACAGAGCAAGCTGCTGCGTAAGCCTGGCTGGGGAGACGATCACTCGTCCGAGACACGGCGAAGGCGACCTGAAGCAACGGACTGCGCTTAGGGCTCGGGGCTTAGCATGTATGGTTTAGGGTGCAAGGTTTAGGGCTCAGCATGTATGGTTTAGGGTGCAGCATGTATGGTTTAGGGTTTAGGGCTCAGCGTGTACCCTTGTAGAACATAAGGTTTGGATGTTTCAACCGTTTACCATAGCTAGGCTGGCTCTGCAG